TGCGACTGGCTCAAACAAGCGTTATTTTGTATTTCCATCGTAAGTTCTCGCTTTGTAGGACGAAGAGAGCTCTTTCTACCTACCATAACCCCCTTCCACTATATGCTAATACGATGTTCTGAGGACTAATGAGCCTTGTAATGTATTTGAAGTCAGGTAGGCCCTGTGAATAGATGCACACTTCTCCCCGTTCCCCATTTGCTCTTTCAGCCTTAAGGAGCACCCGGAATATCCGTTCCACGATGAGTACTAACTGCCCTGCTGCCTGCTGCCGTCCGCCTCCACACTTGCATTCGTGACTGCCTTAATCCTCCCTGACATTTCTCCTCTTTTTTTATTTTTTTCCGCTTCCGTTACTTTAGTGAGTATCTTGATATTTTCAACAGAGCAATTGAAAGTACTATACTTTCTGTTTTCTCATGTATCATTCGGCAGTGAATGTGTGAGTGAGTGGCCTGGGATGTAGGGTGAAATGATATTGGGCTGATTGACAGATTGTGCGCAAGACGTACTTTGAAGCTTCTTTTGGAAATTAAGGCATACCGGCAGGAAGTGACTTGTGGCAAGAATTGCATTGAACATGTTACCCATATTCTATTCCGCATTATCAATTACCAGTTAACGTGAGAGGGAACCTCTTCCTAATTTTCATTCATCCAAGCTCACTCCTTGTGCTTACCAATGCGTACAGCAATGCATTTTACCCTTCTTTATCAATTTTCTTCGTATTGTGGGGATGATCTTTCGGGATATGAAGGAAAAGAATAATCCTCAATCCACAAGTGAGTTAGATAGGAAATCTTAGGTGCCTGGCTGACTGAAATCGCTTAAACCGCATTGCACTAATGAAAATTGGATGAATAAAAGTGGCCAGGCTCTTAATTACTGCACAAATCTTGTCTGTCCCGTAGGACTGGCGCTTGGGAAGTCTAGGTGCATTCTCTCGTACAAACCACAAACAACTAGGCAAATAGGGCAAATTGGCTAGACATACTCAAATTTCATCGGCTTGGCCGAAGTGATGGTATCCGGATACTAGGTTGCTTTGCATACGCCGGCATGGACAAGTGAACATTTTCACCGTACTGTCACGGCAAGTGATCACATCCGCACAACTTCAAACCACCCACTGCGGTATTCATCCGCATTAGTTCAAGGGATTGAGAGTCATTTTCTCAGTCCTTACAAAACCATGAGGTTAGTTTTATTACTTGATTCTGGGTTACTTTGGATGTACTGCGCTGATATAAGTTGGTCATGTTCATCCATCTCTATTTCAAATGGGAATCAACATCTAAGGAATTGCAGCCAATGAAGGAAGGTGCTCGAGGTGTCGGGCAGAGCAGACTGCGAGTGCTAGTGGTACCTTCAACTGGCCAGAGAGTTCTTCCATTGAGACTAAAAATGTGGATGAAGACGATGAAGAGTACGTAATGATTTTACCACAAGTCGTCGAGTAAGCTTTCCGTGGCGGAACCTCAAAACAGCGTTAAGGGATGGATAACTATCCAGCTAAGTTATGAAATTCACATTCAAATAATGGCTAAGAATCGCCGCGGCACGGTTACCCTCTTCCTCAGCGAATCAGTCAAGCCTGTTATAGAATGTTACGGTGGACCAAACTCAACGATCTCATATCAAAGCGCTTCGTGTTCCATCCAAAGATAGACAAGTCCTCCTTTTTCCTATCCTGCATGCGTTCAAGTAAAGCCTTAATGATCTATACAAGTTTCAGGCAAATTAAAAGGACCTTCACGCAATTTTTGCTTTGTACTTGTTGCGGTCAAATAAATAGTAAATCTTGGGGCTTTCTTGACCCTTAATTAGAGGATTAGAACCGTTTTACGACCAGGCTACCATCTGCAAATGTAAGGGAGACAAGAGTCGAAGTGGAGACGTCGTTGAATGCCACCAGAGGAAAAGAAACCTAGATAGTGAAGATTCTTATGTGCTACCAAATTAGCTTGAATGTGATTCTTATGATTATTTGGAATTTTTTAGAAAAGAGCTTCATCAGCCATCAAGCTTTAGATGCCACAGCAGCTGTCGCGTTGCCGAAAGGAAGTATTGATGATATTTGTAAGGCTGGCTTAATAAGCTGACTTTCTTTTCAAGTAGAAATGATAGAGAGACAAAATGAAGACCCTCTTCTTGTTACCAAAGTTATCCAATAAATTACGGACAATGCCATTTGGATGTTGTAATCCAGCATCCATACAGGTTGTGCTCGCATTCCGTCAGTCATCCGTTTCTTGCTTCATAGGTTGCTCCACTGTAACCCACGTCCTCAGGTGCCACCGAGGCTGGCGGGTGCACACTGATATCGCCAGTCCTCTTTTAACCACCGAAAGAGGAAATCGGTGAATCCTCAGCATGGTAGACTACTCCACGGTTGTGGTCGAGACAGGTTGCACGAAAACACGCTGGGATTTGTCAAAACGGAGTTCCAGAAGCAATACATGTCAAACATGCAGGTAATATTGAAAGCCAACACTATTTGAAAAGAAAGTAGGACTTTTAGGATTTCTCAGACGCAGACGATGCCTGGACATTCACAATGTGATTGTCAGGTGAACCAAACCGGTCGTGCTCGGATTGGAATGCTGAAAGCTTTCAAAGAGCCTGTCCAACCAGAATACGGGGATTTGTGTCTTGGATGGTGCATTCATGCATTTCCGCCTAAAGTCCACACATCAACAGGCCTTTATCCACTCAAGTTGCAATCTGTCAGACATGTGACAGATGAACTATCACGACAACCACAATGAGAGCGACGTCAACGGAGAAGGCCAAATGGGACAGTCATGCATGCTTGTTCCGTCACCTTGACTACACAGAAATCTCCATCTTCTGTGTAACGAAGATGTATTCCGAGTGAAAATGGACACCTCATCGACTGCCTACCTCGTGTGCGATGGGCAATCACGATTCATTGCTATGAAATGCGTCCATAGTGGGCCACACCTCTGGTTGGATGCAACAACGAAGGCTGCATACAAAGAGGAGGAGGGAGGAACATCGGAAGCAGCAATACGCAGAGACCACGCAGAAGGGGCATGACCGAGGACGATGTTGAAAAGGATGAGGAGATAATGCAATGCATGTCTGTCGGAAGATGCACTGCTCGGCGAGAAGTGGACTGCAGATGACGTTGACCCCTGAGATGGAACCGAGGTCTAACCTCCCGCTATCCTTGATCACCTCTTCACATCCAGCATTACTTCTCAAAGCGTAGACACCCTTCTCCCACCGATCTTCCTGTTCAGAGTGTTGGAAAGGTGGGGTGGAAGAGGGAACCCCATTATCCTTTCCACTTATAGGTGGCGTTGGTGCCCCTTTCCACCTCACTCATCATAGTGCTGGCAATCGGTGCTTCTGGGATATATTGGCGACATTGCAAGGAGAGATTTGAGTCAGGTTGAGTGTTAGGGCATTCACTCTGCCAAATTGGCTACCTCTCATGCATGCATGGCCAGTCATTGAAGTGCATCACATGGCTACCTCGATCAGACTATTGCCCCATGACCACGTGGAGGAGTGAAGCACGTCGACAGGCGGGCAGTGCTACACTAGGAGGAGGTGCTTCAAATCGGGCATTTGGAATGGATTCGAGGAGATGGTAAATCGAGGCGACTGCCTTCCACGCTCCTCACAGCCATGTAGGTAGAGTGACATTGACAATGACTCCGCATCTGCATGTTAGAGTGGCGCAAGTGTGATGCATTAATGTGTCGGTGTGCGAATTCGCATTCTGTAGACGTGACTGATTCAAGACCAGCTGTATGCATGGCGCGAACCTGTCCAACGGAGGAATCATCGTCCCACTGAATGCACTCCTCTGTGTTGGAATGGGAGTTGGTGGTGTCGCGTGTCTGTGAGTAAGAGTGAATGCTTAGCTGGAAGGCGGTAGAGATGTCTGTCACACCCACATCGCACTGCTATCTGTACTGAGATGACAGGAGATGGCGCTGAGGGTGATACAGCAGTCGTTCTTTCAAACTTCCTGTTTCGTGTTCAGTCACCTGTTTACTTTCGGACTGTACATTCGACGAGTGCTAATGTTGGCTGTGAGGGAGGCAGGATTTCCCTGCTCCATCACATCTGCCTTCATGCTGTCCTAACCAAAGTCCACACCACCTCACCCATATCATTGCTTTGCACGACCTGACGCAAAGTACTCTCCTGTGAGTGGTCAACCAACATAATCAGGCAAATTTCTTTCGCCATAATCTTTCCACGTGCCAGCATCATGCTGGTGCAACTGAGTAGATGCTGTAAATAAATGCTGGGCAGCGACTTGTCAGTAAGAGACTGTACCAACTCGGTTGTATGGCGTTGAGTCGCCTGATTCCTAAGGAGGTGCCAAGTGAGCGTTGAGGGCAGGTGTCTTGATTACAGAGGAGATGAGTGAGCAATGGACATTTGGCGGCCGCGGACGTGCGTGGTGGCTGCTAGGCGGAGGTCGTCAGAGGGGCGAATCCACATGTCCGTGATACCTGCAAATCCCAAGTGTAGTAATAGGGTGACCTTAGCATTTAGGTGGGTATTTGAAGAATTAGGCCACACCTCAGATTGATGTGGGGTAGTGAGTGGGGAATTTGTGAGTGCAGAGACTCTGGAGCCTTTGAGGTTGAGCAATCAATTGGAAGTGAGTGGAAGTTGAAGAAGAAGACTTCTGTGAGATGCAGGCATCTACAGCACTAGTTGTGGCTGTAGACTTGGAGTGGTCAGAGGTGAGCCACACTTACCGTGTTCAGAGTGATCTGGAATATTGAGGGCGGTTCTACCTTGGAGTGGATGCGGCACTGCTCCTACTTAAGTAATCTTCAGTAGGCTAGCCTGTGAATGAGGGCAAAATGGTTGATGGCAGAAGCAAATTCCTGCCTCTACGTGCAAGGGCAAGGACAAGGACAAGGATAGGTGCTCGTTTTTACAGGATTCGTTTACTGTGTCATCTGTAGACAATCCTGGATCTTGCAAGCGACTTCCGATTACCTGACATTTGATCTATCGTTGGTGACTTGGCCAGAGACGACCAGTTGTTGGTGGAGGTGAGCTAGGTGAGCTAGTCATTTTAGCTGCAGCAGTGCAGTTATCACAGTGAGCGTTGGATTGTCCACCCTCTTGTTGATCCTAGCCACCAATATTGCTCAAT